CTCCCCCCCCCGCGTTTTTTCCGTATCTTATTTTGCAAGCCAGGGAGACCCAATCAAACGCGCAGCGCATCGATTCGCCAGGCGCTCTTTGGCAAAGCGAGGAGGGGTTCTCCCCCGACCTTTCTCCCCCCCCCCTCTCCCTTCAGATCTCTTCGCCGCCAATGAACTTGGACGAGGAAGAGGGGAGGGAGGGGGAGCCAGCCAGCTACCGCTTCTTGATTCGAGTTTCTTTTTTTTTCTTTTTTAAAGAAAAAGTACGTTTGGCTGAAGGAGGAGGGAAGACAAACTAGCGCGCGTTCTTCTTTGGCCATGGACTACGTTTAAAAGTCCGCCTTGTCTTCTCTTGGTTTCTTTCTTTTTCTTTTCTTTTTCATCCTCTCCTCTTTCCTTCTCCCCGCTGTTTTAAAGATTCCCGTTGGCCAGAGATGGGCACGGAAAGGTGAAACTCAAGAGGTGGGAGACGCGATCCCGAAGCGGCGTTTCTTCTCGGCTGCAAAAAATCCAATTCCGAAGGCGTAAATCTTTGGCTGGGCAGCGACGACCGGTTAAAAAATCTCACCACTAGCTCCAGGGCACGCGCTGGTAAGTGGTACTGGAGGACGGGGGGGGGGCGAAGAGAGAGCGAGAGCTAGAGTGAGAGATGGAGGGAGGGAGGGAGAAATAGAGGGAGGGAGAGAAGGAGAGAGGGAGGGGGAGAGAGAGAGGGAGAGGGGGAGAGAGAGGGGGGAGAAAAGTGGGTGTGAGTTTCCCCCTCCCTTGCTGAATGCGTGGAGGCTTTGGGTCTTCCAGGGGTCGGCTCGGTGCGTTTTGCAGCAAACAAAGTGCCATTAGGAGTAGTTCGCGGCGCTTGGTGTCTCGAGGCCCCTCCCTCGGCAAAACGGGATGTCCCCAGCCGCCCCTACCCAATGCGGAAGGTTTCTTTCGGGACGAGTCAAGGAATTTACGCTTAAAAAGGAAGAACCCCCTCCCCCTTCCCAAGTTAGCGCCGGCTCTCAAAATCTCGGATGGAGAAGGGGATGTTAGTGGAGTTACTTTCAGTGGGGGAAAAGAAGACTTATAGGGCAAAGGAGAGGGCCAGGCGCACCCCTCCTTCCCCTGTCTTGCGGACTGGAACTTACCCTCCCCCACACCATTTGGGGTCCGTGGGACTTGACCCTCCCCTGTTCGCAGCGACTTCCAAAAAGCTTCTTTTTAAAGNCAGAGTGAAGATTACCCGGAGGGCATCCAGTTCTATAAATAATTTATTTCCTCCTTTCCTTCCTTCCTTCCTTCCTTCCTTCCTTCCTTCCTTCCTTCCTTCCTTCCTTCCTTCCTTCCCATATTTAAAAGATGGAAAAAGACTGGAAGATGCCCATTTGAAATTATTGTCCTTATCTTCCAAAGCGGATGCCGGGTATGTGTGTGGGGGGGTCTCTATCGTTTCTCCCCCACCTTCGCTCGCTCTTCCTTCCCAGTCTCCACGCTCCCATGTAGCAAATACTTTGTCTCCCCTCCTTCCCACCCCCCCTTTAAATAATAATAATAATAATCCTAGCGACTGGTCCCCACCTCCTTCGTAGTTGAGCTGTTTAGGACGTGAATTATTGGTGCGCGGTGCCCGGTCCGCGCGTCCTGCCGGCGTTGCGAGAAAGCACATTCCGGAGGAGGCTGATGGAGGCGCCAATGGAGAGGTGGACAGATGTTGGGGCGGATCTAGCCAGAGCGAGAAACCGGGGACCGCTTCTCCTGGGTTGTAGGAAAGTGGCTTCGCTGGCAAGCACAGGAGGCACCCGCCGCCACGCAGCCCCGATTTGCTCAGCTGCCGTAGAAATAACTTTTGAGGGGGGTGGACTGGGAGAGAGAGAGAGAGAGAGAGAGAGACGGTACCGCACACCCGAGTCGGGGAAATGGAAGCGCGGGGGAAATCCGGCCGCCGAAGCGAGCGTCAAGAAGACGCTCCGTCGGAGGAAGAGTGGAAAACGTAGGGAAAACCTCGCGCTTCCCGCTGTAGTTTCCCTGGACGTTCAAAGAACTTGGTGTATGGGGAGGGGGGGGCAGAGAGGTGTTTCGTGCTAACGGCCGGTTTCCTGGTTTGGTGTGGGTGGGTGGGAGGGAGGGAACTATGATGATAGAAAGAGGGGAGGAAAAAAAAAATCAAACTTTTGTGTTGGGACTTTCCACGCGAGGAAAAAACAAAACAAAACAGCTCCCCACTCCTGAACCTCGGTTTTTATATAGGGGGAGGTAAAAAACAACTGCGTGGAGGACAGTCACCTTTGAACGAGTCCCTCAAATCCTGTTCAAGGAGCCTTCGCTCGCGCTTTAAAAGTCTTACCAAAGAGATCACTTTGTACTCTTCCCCCCCATCCCCGAGAGAGACAGAGAGAGAGACAGAGAGACAGAGAGAGAGAGACAGAGAGACAGAGAGAGAGAGAGAGAGAGACAGAGAGAGACAGAGAGGCAGAGAGAGGGACAGAGAGAGACAGAGAGGCAGAGAGAGGGACAGAGAGAGACAGAGAGG